TGTCTGCCTGCCTAACTCTTAAGTTCCCTTTTCAGAAGAGCATTTGGCTTTGGCTCGATTACTCTGCATGATGGCTCTGGTGCTGGAATAAATGACTGCGGGGTGGGCACGGCCTCAGGCCTCAGGGTGTCCAAGGTCAGAGGCTAGAGAAACCAGGGGTAGCTGGCTGGCCAGTCCGATGGGGACTGGGGAGGGGGAACCCAGAAGTAATGGATTGCACACACTTCTCTTTTGTAAATAGAGACAGGGTCTCACTGTGTTGCCCCTGGGAATCTCGAACTCCTGGCCTTAAGCAGTTCATTCACCTCGGCCTCCCAGAGTGCTGGCATTCCAGGTGTGAGCCATCACACCCAGCCCACACTTTTATTCTCTAACAAAAGTTTTGTTGAAGTTTATTAACAGAAAGGAAGAAATTAGTAGCCCCAATTCCTCTGAGATTTTGGAAGGGACGAGTAAGAAGTGCACTGTGCCCACTGGGTGAGCCGGTGAGCACCTGGGGTCTCTGAGCAGGTCTGAGACCTTGGCCACTCTCAAATCTGCACCAGTGCCCCCAGTGCGTCCCTTGGGACTGGGGTGCATTTTCCCCCTGGGCACTGTCACCGTTGATAGGTTCTGAACTGTGTGTGCTGGTAACTGCCTGTGTGATTCGCCTGCTTCTCCAGCCCTGGCTTAGGGTGGCAGTGAGGAACTGGAGCAACAGTTTGCCCGTCTGCGGCTGGGGGGCTTATGCCCGTGAACTGGGCTGTTCTGTAACAGGCAGGCTGCAGAGGGTCTTGTGAAGTCATCTTCTCCAGGTCAGTCCTTGAAAGTGTGAGTGTTGAAGGTGTTTGTGTAAATCTGACCAAAACTTATTTTTGTTTTGTGTTTTTGAAAAGTTAGGCTTCAGAGACTTGGTTTTTCACTTAAAAAAAAAATTACCACGGCAACCATGTGTGGCAGCTTCCAGCATTTTGGGAGGCCCAGGCAGGCAGATCACTTGAGCCCAGGAGTTCGAGACCAGTCTCTACAAAAAATAAAAAGTTAGCCAGGTCCTGGTGGTATATGCTTGTAGTCCCAGCTCCTCGGGAGGCTGCAGTGAGCCGTGATTGCACCACTGTACTCCAACCTGTGTGACAGTAAGCCTGTCTTAAAAGCCAAGCCATAGCAGTCAAGGTGTCAGAATCTTAGAACCACTTTTCACAAAACTGGGGTTCACGTGGCAGAGCCCTGGAGGCTGGAGGAAATGTCCCTAGGGGGCTGGGGAGAGAACGACCATCGTTAGGTGACGAGGCAGTGTGTCCTACAGTTTCTCCCAACTGCACCCACAGTTGGTTCAAAATTTTTTGCTGGTCCATTTTCCTAGCTAACAAGGCCTGGGGTGAAGGAAGCCTGCCTCAGTTAACTATGTCCCTAGCACAATGCCAGCACATAGTAGGTGCTCAGTAAGTGTGCATCAACTCATTGAAGAAAGTGAGCATGTGTGCGTGTGAGAGAGAGAGAATATATAGCCTCATCGCCCATGATTCCCTCTGGGCCTCATCTTGAGACACTTGGTCGTTAAGGAATCTGGTTCCTCCCATTGAATGAAGGAAATGTGGTGAAGTGGCCCGTGGTGCGGTGACACTGTGATACAGGCTCTGAGCACAGACTGCCTGGGTCCACACACCAGCTGTGCTGCTGGCTTCATGCCCCTGGGCAGTTGGGACAGGCTGGGTGGGCCTCCCAGGGGCAGTTATCAGAGCTGGGGCTAGGCCTGATGTGGGTGCCTACGCAGTAGGGCCTTGGGAGGAAATCTTATAAAACCCTTAGCCTGAAGTCCCGAGCCTGGGGATACTGGATGCTCCTCGTTATCAGGTGATTTTGATGCCAGGTAAGGCACAGCACACCTTTTCCCAGTGCGACCCATCAAGGAAGGCAAGGGGTGGAGGGGGCATTTGGCGGAACCGTTCAGTGATGTGAGCCGGAGAAGCGCTGGCTGTGTGTGGGGTGGCTGGCAGCTGCAGGAAGGAGACGTTTTGGGGCAGCAGGCCGCCACCAGCCCACCAGCCTGCATCCCGGTCTCATGTGCCCTCCATTCAAGAACTGTGTGCAGTGGGACCAGAGTCCTTAATTGTCAAATTAATGCAGCGTCCTCATTAAACACCAACACCACGCCAGGCAATTCAGTCGGTTCAACAAGTCTCACTGCCTTGTGTGGTATTCAGAGAACATACAGTCTGGTCCCCACTGTTGGAAGGACCTATGGTTTTCTAGGGAAAGACAGGGCAGAGATCCACAAGACAGCAACAGCTGGATACAGCTTGGAACTGGGATTGTGGCTCACAGCAGCAGCGTGGGTTCTAGGTGAGGGCCAGCTTGGTTAGGAGGGCGTGTCCGGTCCTTGGCGATTGCACAGATCTGGCTCTGCCTTGTGTTAGCTTGTGACCTTGGGCAAGCGCCTTAATCTCCTGGAGCCTCAGTTTCCTCTTCTGTGGAGCGGGGCTGGTAACTGTACCTACCTGGTGGGCCTGTAGTGAGGGTGAAATGCCACAAGCCCAGGGGAGCGCTGGGCCCCTGAGAAGCTTTGCCTTCTGTTGTTATGGTTTTGAACTTGGCTGAGTGAGGCCAGAGTGTGCGAGCGGCCCTGGCGCTCCAGCCCTGTGTATTGAGCGGAGTTCAAGAGCCTTTCTCCGAGCTGGAGACGGGCACGGACGGCCCTGCCAGGGTTACGTGGACTGTGGGAGGGGACATGTGGCTCCTCTGCCCCTGTGTGCCCGCCCTTGCCTACCCACAGCGGCCTCCTCGCCGCTCCTCAGACTCAGCAACTTATGTCCCGCTTGCTGCTACCTGTGCCTGAAATGTGCACGGAGCCACACAGACCTCACGGGCTCCTCACCTCACTCCTCTGCTCTAGTGCTTCTGACCCTCGGGGTCTTGGGCTGCCCTGGCAAACAGGTCCCCTCACCCCGCTTCCGTGTGCTTTGCGGCCCTCGTTGCTGCCACCGACCGTCAGTGTTTTTCTGCTCATTGTCCATCTCCCTCGTGGATGGTGAGTGGCAGGCAAGCCAGGAGTGCGTCTGGTCCACAGCTGAGCTTCCCAGCACCTAGAGGGGAGCTTGGCCCATAGCAGGTGCTCAGTAAATACCTGTAGAATGGAGAGATGGGGAGTTTGGAGTAGGTGGCGCTTCCAGAGGTTACTAGCATGCTCTGTCTTTGAAGTCATGAGCATTTGAACAATACCCAGGAGTCTTCCTTCTTCAGCTGTGACTTGAGGTCAAACTCTGAGCATGGCACCCCCTGGGCAGCCAGGAAGGAGTAAGGGGCCCATGCAAGATGCCCTGTTCCTGGTTCCCAGAGCCCACACAGCAGGATCAGCTGGGAAGATGGGGAACCACTTGTCCCTTGCAGCCTTGCTCAGGGCTCCAAGGAACCTTCTAGCCTGCCAGCCTCTCTCCAGCCCCCTCCTCTCCTTCTATACAGTTAGCACAAGGAAGAGTTTTGTTGTCCCTTTGTACCCTTTGTGCAGAGAGAGCCTTTTGAACGTGTGTGTGTGTGTGTGTGAGTGTGACCCTCCGGGTGTGTGAGTGAGTTTTCACGAAGGAGGGCTGTGGGTGGAGGTGCTTGTGTTCATGGAGCAGGCAGCCCGTGAGAGGAAGGCAGAGCCAGTGTGTGTGCCTGTGTGTGGGGAGAGGACACCAGAGGACACGTGGGCTCTGTCCATCCCCCAAGGCCCTGGGTGTGCCGCGTGGGGACCATGGGCGTCACAGCCCAGCTCCTGACCTCTGGATTCTGCAGAGGGTCCACACTGGCGCTATACAGAAGCTATTAAATTCCAGGAAACTCCCTACCAGCCCAGCCAGTGGGGGAGGGAGTGGAGGCGAATCCACGTTGCTCCCTAGCTCTTGGAGCAGATGTGCCTGCCTCAGGGACAGCAGCCTAAGAAAGTTCCAACCAAAGTGTGTCTGCTCACTATAAAAGAGGCATCTGTGAAGAGACCCTGGAGGGAGGCTTGGGGGGTGCCCTGCCAGAGGTCCTCACTGGGGGCCCACAGAGGCCATTGTGTCTTGCTGGGGGGAGGCCAGAACTCCGGGTGTGGGAGCTGCTGGGTCATCTTTCTTGGTTTTACAGCCAGCTCCCAGGCACAGTTGCTTTCTGCTCCTGAAAGGCTGGGCTGGGAGGAGGTGGGGGCCCTTCCCGCTGGAGGGCTGGTTTGAAGGGGCCCCGCCCCGGGGGTTCCCGGATGACTGGCCAAGGGCTGGCTGAAGCCAGCAGCGAGGGGAGAGGAGGCAGGCGTGGTCCTCTCTAGCAGGCCATCCGGCTGTTTGGAAGGCCCTGGCGGCCCCCCAGGCCCTTGAGCTGAACCCCTTTTGCGGTCTAGTCCGACCCCTGGCCGCGCCGCCCCGCCCCGTCCCGCCCCCTTCCTTCTCTGCACTTCTGGGGCTGGCCCTTTCAGCCCTGGAAGCTGCCCAAGAGCATATCTTTGAAGCACAGCAAAGGTTAGGAAGGAGGAAGACAGAAATGTCCTCTGGGCTGGGGGAGTGGGAGAAAGGAATTCCATGCATGCTTCATGGGAGTCAGGGCGCCGGGCCTGCTGGGGGCACTCGGCTCAGCCTCCGTGCCCAGTGGCCAGCATGTCCTGCCATCTGCCTCTTGCCACCCAGTCCTGTGCAGAGTGAGCCCTGGACCCTGGGCTGGGAGCAGGGAGCGGCAGCCCTTGTTTACAGCGCTGGTTTCAACCTTGGCTCACAAGGGTAAGAACCAGGCCCTGCCATCCGCCCCTGCAGGATGCGAGACCTCGTAATTGTCTTCAATTACAGACAGCGCCGGCCCTCAGGCTTGGTTTCCGACAGGAACCAGAGCCGGGGCCACTTCCACCGGGCTGGGAGAGCACCCCCCAGCCCTCACTTGAAGGTTTGGAGGGCTCCTTGCGGCCTTCGGGGCACTCCCAAATGCCCACTGGCCCTGGGGTCCACCCACAAGCCTGCCTCGGGCTGATGAGAGCCCATCCCTGCTGAACGCCTGCCTTCTTTGTCCCCGCTCAGGATGAGACTTCTGTGAGCAGCGAGGATTTTGATATGAGCGAGTCCACATGGATGTCAGCTGACCCGCACCTGGCCTCCAGCCTGAGCCCCAGCCAGGACGAGAGGATGCGGAGCCCGCAGAACCTCCACAGTCAAGAGGACGGTGAGTGCTCCTCAGTAGCGGTTGGGGAGGGGCTGTGCCTGGCCGCCTGCTCCCAGTTGTCCTCAGGTGAGAGGTGTGGACACACTCCAGGGTGTTGGAATCTGGGCCAAGGCCTTGGGGTGGTCCAGGCCCAAGCTGGCAGCTGCCCTGCATTCTCAGCATCTGTGAGGGTCCCACTGCCCCAGCCCCTGGCTTCTTCCTCCCAAAGATGACAGAGAGAGCCCATGGGACTGGCAGCCTGTGGGGCAGGGGGTCTGTCTGGTTGCCGGGATGCCATGGGCTTCTGTGATGTGGGTTTCGGAGTTACCAGGGGCGAGCCTGGGAAGGTTCACTGTGTACCTCGCACAGAACAGCCCCACTACCCAGCAAGGAAACTAGAGCTGTGTTTCTGCAGCCGCATGTGAGGCTATAGCGCAGGTCACCTGGTGAGTGACCAGGCAGTGCAGCTGTCCACATGCATCCCAGCCCCTTGGCATGCGATGCAGCTGGCTGGGGAGCTGTCCGGATTCTTCCCTAGCCCTAGCCCCCCGAGCCCGGGGCCTGCCAGGCAGCCTGCTCTGGCCTCCCTTGGAACAGAGGTCTCGGGTTGGAGAGTTAGGGTCAGGAGTCAGACCCCAGAGATCCGCCCGGGCTCCGCGTGGACTCCCCCAGGTGGTTGGGCTCTGGGTCCCTGGCATCTGCCCTGGTGTGCCAGGGTCGCCAGGTGGCCCTGTGAACACAGCACTCCTGGCACCGCCTTTGTTTCCAAGGAGGAGATGGTTGGGGGCGGGGGATGCGTGAGCTGGGCGCTGGAGAACTGGGGTGTAGGAGCCGGAGCTGGCAATTAGGAGGGGTTGAAGGTCGAGGCCTGGAATGTGGGAGGGAGGTGTGGGTTAAAAAGGGGTGTAATGTTAACTCTGTGAAACGGGTCAGCCTTAAAGAGTAAATAAGGGGTAGGAGCCTTGCCGTTTGGGTCAAAGTTCGTCTCCATGGCAGAACCTGTGCGCCTGCCTCCCCATGGCCCTCTTAGCCTTGAATCCAGCTTTGTTTGGGAGGAGACCCAGTCTGGAGGCAGCTGGAGGTGTCTGGGCCAGGGGCTGGGGAGCCAAGGGAGTGGCTGTGTGAGGAGCGGGGTGCGAGGCTGCCGGCAAAGAAAAGGCTTTTGTGCCTGATGCCTCGTGAGGTCAGCGCGACCCCCTCGTGCTGCCAGCCTCCTAGGCCAGTGCTGCCTTCCAGCGTTCCCATGGGGGCGGGGACCCGGTATGGGTGGCCACGTGCTCTGGGGGGCACTGGTGCTGGGACAAGCGCAGCAGCTTATCTCCCGCCTCCAGGGAGCCAATTGAGGCCTCTCCCAAGCCACACCGAGGGCAGTTCCTGCAGCGCTCAGCCAGGGCCGTGGGCTGTGCCCTCCTAAGAAGGGTCTGGGACAGTTGTTCAGAAACCCAGAGCAGTGGGGCTGGCAGGGCCACTGGAATGAGTAGGGTCCCCGTACTTGTTCCTGAGCAGATCTCATGCTATTATTATTCCTCATGTCTACCGTTTGGGAGGACTGGAGATTTGGAGGCCATCAGGATCAGGTAGCAGACTGTGGCATTTCTGTAGGGTCCATGGGGCTCCCTCAGCACGTGCTGCCTAGAGGCTAGCTGGCCATGAAGACAAGGCTGAGAGATGCAGGGAGGCTGGTGGGGTCCATAGGTCCCCAGAGCCCAGTGCAGGTCTGCCTCGGGGTAGTCACACACCGCCTTCTGTTCCTGGTGGCCACCAGAGCTGGTACGGGGAAGATGGTGCTGACCGTGATGCCAGGGGCCTCACTGTCCACTCCGAGGCTGTGTCATGGGGTTGTGGGCTATCCCACTGGCCGGCTGAGACCCTGGGCGGGGCATAGGCCCTGGGAAGGCCCAGGCAGCTGGCCTGGCCTCTGCTGCCCTTTTTGGGCCCATGGGCCTGTTGGTATCTGTCCAGAGCAGTGGATTTCTGGCCTGGAGTCCTGGGCCATCTTCCAGCCCCCATGTCGACACACAGCCAGCCACTCTTGAAGGCGTTCATGGTGCAGGCATGAGCTGAGGTCCAGCTCCCATGAGTAAGTCAAGGGGAGCCCATCAGGGCACTCTCAGGCCCATTATTGATGCAGGACTGGGTGGGAACAGCCCAAGCAGGGCTGCCCTAACCTTCTGTGGGTTCCACTCCCCACCCGAGGGTGTCCATCGCAGAAGCCCCCCAACCTCACTGATGCCCAGGTGGGCTTAGTGTGTGGCCTCTGGCCCTCAGTCCTCCATGGGCATCTGAGGCCTGCTGTGAGGTCAGTCTTGGTCTCTGCCCTGCCCCTGTGACTCGGTTGTGAACCTGGTCCATTGTCAGTGCCTGCTGAATGTCTGTTATCCCCAAATGAACAAGCATTTACTGGGACCTACCCGAACACAACATTGCAGAGCAGATGTAGCTCCACCTCCGATGGGGCATAAGCTGGCTTGTTTGCTTCTGGGGACATCCTCCCCATCCAAGCACTTAGGCCTTTTCTGTTTGCCAGAAGTGTGGGGACTCCCAGGGCTATGCTGATGACACACCTGTGTTAGTCTGTTTGGTGTTGCTATAAAGAAATACCTGAGGCTGTGTAATGTGTAAAGAAAAGAGGTTTATTTGGTTCACAGTTCCACAGGCTGTGTAGGCATGGCACTAGCATCTGCTTGGCTCCTGGGGAGCCCTCAGGAAGCTTACAGTCATGGCAGAAGGTGAAGGGGGAGCAGGCACATCTCATGGTGAGAGAGAGGAGGTGGGGAGGGGAAGAGATACCAGGCTCTTTTAAATAACCAGCTTTCCCGTGAACTCACAGTGAGAACTCACTCCACATAGCACCGAGCCACTCATGAGGAATCTGCCCCTCATGACCCAGATGCCTCCCACCAGGCCCACCTTCAACCCTGGAGGTCACATTTCAACATGAGATTTGGAGGGGGCCCACATCCCAGCCCTATCAGCACCCCATCCCTGCTGATGAGCGACGCAGCTGGAAGTGATTTCAGGAGCTAGGCAGTTGGCACCTGTGGATTAGATGGGGCCCCCCCCTTTTTTTTTTTTTTTTTTTTTGAGACGGAGTCTCACTCTGTCACCCAGGCTGAAGTGCAGTGGCACGATTTTGGCTCACTGCAACTGCCTCCCAGGTTCTGCCTCAGCCTTCTGAGTCGGTGGGATTACAGGCACTCACCACCACACCTGGCTAATTTTTGTATTTTTAGTAGAGATGAGGTTTCACCATCGTGGCCAGGCTGGTCTTGAACTCCTGACCTTGTGATCCACCCGCCTTGGCCTCCGAAAGTGCTGGGATTGCAGGCATGAGCCACAGAGCCCGGCAGGACCCTTCTTTAAAAATTTGCACAAAGGCAGATGAAGGCTGAGTGGCAGAGCAATCCCATGGCCGAAACCGCTGAGCCTGAGAGTGAGTTGCGAGCATGCCCGTTTTCACTCCCCGAGGAGCTTGTCTCTGAGGTTCTTTATACCGAGGTGAGTATCTGCTTGTCCTGAAACACAGGCGTCTGCCCCCAGCCCTGCCACTGCCTGCCCTGCGAGTCTTGCTCTCCCAGACCTCTTTTCAGCAGTTCCCTACACTCTGAAGTCCTGGGATGCGCTTGGGTCCCTGCGATCACAGCCACTAATGCTTGGCAGGGAACGCCACTCACAGCGCCCTCATCTCATGGGGGGATCAGGGAGAGACTTTGGGCAACTCGGCCAGAGTGGGGAGGTGCCAGCACTTCTCCTCTCTCGCCTTTGCCAGGTGTAGGAGCCATGTGTGAGGGTCCCCAGAAGATGGGCTGGGGAGCTAGGGAACCAAAGGAGGCCCTCCCCAGACACTTGGGGTGCTCCCTCCTTGGGGCCCAGGGCCATGCGGGCCAGCTCCTGCTACAGTTTCCTGCCCAGGCATGGGCCAGGTCCCCTGTAGACCCTCGGCTACGCGCTGGCTGAGGCTTGGACTTTCTTTGGGTCTGAACAGGGCTCTCTGCACATCATAGGGTGTGGAGGGAGGATGCCTGGGAGAAGCCAACTCTAGGCTTTGTCCGGAGACGCTGTTGTCTGAGTCTTGGGGCCAAATAGCACATCCATCTGAAATGTCGCCCCCACCCATGGGATCTGTTTGATACAGTCTCCTCCCTGAGCACTGTAAGCACCCTGAGAGCCAGCACCCAGCACAGGGCATGGCACCGCATAGGTGCTGGTGCAGTGTTTGCTGAATGAATGAGTGGACGAAATGAATGAAGGCATGCACAGAGGCAGGTGAGCCAGGGCGCCTCCTGCAGGCTGGGGCTGGCCCCAGGTCCTGACCCAGCAGGCGGGGCCACTCCTTCCGTTTCCCCTGGATGTGCTTCAGCAGGCCTTTCACTCTGCCCCTTCCTGAGCGGAAAATGTGAGGTCCGCCTGGCCTCCAGAAGGGATGCGTGGGGGCAGGGAGCGGACATTACTCACCTCCTGGGCAGACAGGAAGCCAGCGCCAGGGGAGAGCAGGGTCTGCTCGCTGGGCCTGGTTCCACCTTCCATAGGGTAGGCAGTCGGGGGGTTGCTGAGCAAGAGTCATACAGAACACTGGGGCAGGTCAGGGCCTGGTGTGCGCGCCTCTCAGATGAGGCCGCTCCTCCAGAGCTGCCCTCCATCCAGGCTTCCTGCCGCACACCGGGAGGTCTGGGGCTCCCGCATGGTGCACCTGAGGCTAGACAAAGGCACTGAGGGTCCTTTGGCTCTTCTGGGTTCTTGGTTGCCTTAGTCACACCAGCACTGGGCATTGTGACATGCAGGGGTAATGAGCCCTGTCCCCACTTCCCTGGAAGGGTATAGGGTTTGGTTGAAGCCAGATGGGCACACAGTGTGGGACCCCTGCGGGCTGTCAGCTTGCTGAGAGCAGGAGCTGCATCTTTGTAGAAATGTCCCTTATTGCCGGTCTCGGTGGCTCACGCCTGTAATCCCAGCACTTTGGGAGGCTAAGGTGGGCAGATCACGAGCTTAGGAGTTCAAGACCAGCCTGGCCAACATGGTGA